TAGAAAAGAGAACGAGAGAAAGAACACAAGTAGATCCAAAAGAACTACTCGTCGATCAGTATGTATGTTTTAAACAAGGAGCGCTGCCTGAGCATGTATGCATCTATCTATTAGAGAATGAAGAGAATTGAAAGACGGAGGAGGTGAATAATGAAAAGGGAGAATAAGAAGAGGGAGGGAGTGAGTAAGTGAGTAAAATGAATTGAAAAAAGAACGAATGTATAAACACCTGGCTTCTAGCTTCGGGTTAAGCGTTAGCGCAGGGAGAAGAGGAGAGAGGAGAGAGGAGAGGAGAGAGAGGAGAGAAGAAAGGAGAAAAGGATAGCAGGAGAAAAATGTTGATAAACACAAGTCATTTCCACGAGAGACAGATTTACAGAGAGAAGGACAGAGAAAGAAATGGATGACTTCGCTATGGTGAGTACTATACATATATGGATTTCTGCGTCCGATCCCAGGCTAAAAGACCCATCGATTATTCGATTCCGTGCGCCGCCCAGGTATGAACATCACTATAACACCCCAAAACTCTTAACACAATTGTTTGAATGTGCGTCGTCGTCATCTTCACACGTTTTTCCTTTGAAAGGATCCAATCTTTACTGCCACTGCTGCTGCTGCCGCTGCCTACTACAGCCTCATACAGCGGCATAACCCCCTCTACTACCACCGCCTTGCACCGTATTCAGGACCCTTCGCATCCAGTCCTTAAATAAGTACGGGATGTCTCGGATCGTATCGCCGTGAGGAAGCAGATCCCAGCCGCGGGCGCCGTATCGGTTGTAGTTGAGCCAGGATCCGAAGATGAGATAGGTCGCGGTCGAGAGAAACGCACTGTTCGCAGAATATTAGCGGTAAACAAAACCAACGGTCTTGTAAGGACGTACATGATAATGAACCAGGTGAAGAAGCCCCATCCGGCCGTCTTTTTGGAATCCCCGTCATCATCTTTGACATTCTCACAAGCGTACTTGGTTTTCCAATGCAGCCGCAGGACGTCTTCGGTTTCGCCCGAGGTATCATATCTCACAAATTGAAGGTCGGGAGATTTTGCATCATCCTCATTCGTGTCGCCACCATCTTTCGGATCGTCTCTCTTCTCCTCCCCTTCCGCGCGCTTGGCTTTCCGCGATTCGTATTTGTCTTCCGACTCCCACAGATTCTCAAGCCCGCTTCGGTTCAGGTCGCATTCAAACTCCACGATGGCCTTTTGCTTTTTGTTACTCCCCGGCGCAAACCCGCCGTTCATTGTTAACCTCAACCCTTGTTTTTCCGAGTCTGCGTGGGATCCATCCGTCTCTAATCGCACCCACTTGGCATCCAGGTCTCCCCCTCCCTTCTCCTTCAAGTCTCCGGCGATCGGTATAACCTCCCCGATGATGCTGGAATTTGTGTCTTTGTTGATGTCATGTTCTATCCCGCAGACTATTCCATGCCGTTAGTAAAGCTTTGGTATTTCGCCTATATGATCCTCTAGGGAAAACGGCTCGACTTACCTCTAGTGTTACCCGGGCACGCATCTTTCCCTGCTCGTTTTAGAGGCTTACAGATATCGATTGTATAGGTTGTGTTTTTCCAACTTGCGCCCCGGTCCTCACTGTGCATCACCGACCTCGGTCCCCCTAACGTGCTCAGGTCCCACTGATGCGTTTTGTCTATCACGATTTTGGTGCAGTCAAAATTGCCAGTCGCCGCGGCGAGGGTGGGAAACAGGAGTGCTGATAGCACGGTCGCATCTGCTGAGCTTCGGGGTAACCGCATGTCAAAGGTTTCCAGAGGGATGGAGGGACAGAGTAGCAAAGGGTTTCGTCGCCGCTAGATTCCGTAGACTGGAAATAAAATGGTGAGGAACGGGAGGGAAGTTGTATAGCGGTGTGGTTGTGCTGGGTAAGATGTTTTGTTGCTTCTAAGCCCGACTTTGCGATGACGCTAGATCCAACTTCCGAATATCAAGCACAGCTTGGTCACATGACAAGGTCGGCTACACTTTGTGACTCGGATGAATTGAAAAAACTATTCAGCAATACGAATGAGCAGTATCGTGCCCTGAATTCGTAATCCTGCTTTCAAATCGTTTGGTCTCCAGAGGCTATAATCATAGTCACCTGCCCAGCATGAATAAGCGAGCCCCTTTTCATGTATCAAAACAAACATTGGTGATCGGGGGAAGGATCGATACCAATAAGAGTAGCGTAAGCCCCGCAATCTCCTCCTCGCTACAATGCTCGAGGACTTCAATAAGAATTTAAAAAGAGACGCAATTCTCGTTAAATGATATCGGCGGCACGCAATGGGGCCGAGGATAGCACCTTTCCAGCATGGTGACTAGCATGCTAAGCTCAAAGCCCTACTGACCGAAAACCTCGAGACCCTTCCTTACTCATCCCAACCACGCTCAAATACCCGTCTCAAGATAATCAACCACTCCATCTTCAACACCACCCAGGATTCTTTAAGAATGCTCGCGAAGTCACCTCATAACAGCTCTTCTCACCTACATACCCCGCCAGCTTGACCTCCTTCTTCTTCGTACGACTCTGCTTGATCGGAAGCTGTGTGAAGAAAGCTGCAATTCTCACTCCCTGGTATTATAAGAGAAAATTATTTCTGAGACTATTTCCTGCTGTAATTAGAACAAGGAAATCGCAAGTGGCCGCTTCCCGAACACAGCGCAGCCAGCCATATATAAAAAGGAAAAAAGCACACCAATCCATCGTCACAATTCCAGCACGCGAGAATCCTACTCTCCCTTTCAAAACCAAACCCCTTCCAACTGAGGAATGAGAAATATCTCTTCTCGAACTTTCCTTCTTAATCCTTCTTGATTCTTGATGCACCCACCCGGAGAATAGAATTAGAGCAGAAAGCCTTGTAATAAATACCTGTGCCTTGGGCTGGCACAGAGAAACTCCAGAAGACACCTACTCCGACCTGCGAGGCCGGCAGACGACAAAACTCCCAGACTCCGGCGCAAAAACCCACACCAGCACACCGTTGCCTGAGCACCTATCCGCAACGCTCCAACATCATGTATGTGTTTCTTGAAAAAAGTCTTGGGAAAGAAAAAGGGGGGGCAAAATTACCATCCTTTCTCTACTCGCCCTGTGGTGTGACGCTCCGCTGGCCCTCCGGGGGGGAGGCTAAGCAAGAATACGCAAAAGTTGGAGTTACCGACGGCAAGAACATACATTCTAGGCATATCAACACATAAGCTTTCCCTCAGCCGATAATCTCGAGTCTGGATTCATTCCCGTCAGTCAATTTTGGCCCGCCAACTATCAGATGGTAAACCTGGCCTGGATGAACATAATTTTCACTTTTCCATTTCCATTACCGAACCCAGCCATGTTCTCAGATGCTTCAAGGGTATCATAACTCCGAACACCGATCCTCAATCCGTCCTCTACACTCATCTCAGCTCCGGCTCGCCCATCCAATCCGGCTTGGCCAACCACGACCTCTCCATGGCCGGAGCCTGCCTCTCCATCACCGGCGTGGTCTGCTGCGGCTGCTTCTCGCCAATCAGCCCATTCAGTCCTCGACTAGCCCGGTCATCCCTCGCGTAAATCTTCAGACCTCTGAGATGCGTATCCTTTCCGTTCTGATGATTCTCGATAATCCTGACTTGTACCAAGAAAACCCTTAGCGTCCTGCCATCAGGAGCGCCTCCGACGTGGTCGAGGGGAACGTCAATCCAGCCTTTCGGTTGCTCGAATGAGAGGGCTGCAAAGGGGATCAGGTCATGGTAGGCCGTCCCGGCAAGCAGGGTGATCCGGGTAGGTGTGTAGGACTCGTCGGCCTCGAAGTCGAGGAAGATGCGGATGGAGAGGATGGAGACGAGGCGGGAGAAGTGGATGTTGAGGTGATGGGGCTGGGGACCATCTGATCTGATGTTGCATGTTTCATTAGCCCAAAATCAAAAGAAACTTCGGCTCCTGCGCCAGGGAAACAGTAGATACACTCACTGCCAGAACAATCCCGTGTCGTCATCCCTCAACGCATCAACGCCGCACCCGGGCTTGCAGCTGCTCACGGTCCAGCTCGCCAGATTCCCAATCTCCCGCAAGCCCAAGGCGGTCGGATCGAAGGGGTTGTCGATTTCCATGGGCACTTCATTCAGGGTCAGGTTAGCAAGGTTTCTGCTGGCACGCCCGACCTCGTCGGCGCGTTGGGGGGATGGTCGCTCGGCCCGGCCCGTTTCGAGTCTGGTCCGCCGCATAATGTCAATGAGGCGCATCTGCCCGGTGATCAACTGGATATCCTCCTCTGCCGGCGGACTGGGCGGGAGGGTAGCCCGCTGGGGAGTCGGCATGGCGGATTCGGGTTTAGAGACCGATCGGATGCCTGGTGGGTGGACTGCAGTTGAAGGGGAGAGGAGAGGAGGGGGAAGGGTAAGGAAAGGAGGCAAGACAAGGCAAGGCAAGGTAAGGCAAGGGAGGGAAATCAATTGATTGTGAAGAAATACACACACACACACCTTCATCGTAAGCACCTTCCTCCTCCTCGTCGTCGACGACGCCCTCCTCCTCCCCCTCCTCTTCATCGTCCTCGTGGTCCTCGTCGTCCTCACCTTCCTCCCAATCGTGCCCCTCCCCTCCTCCCCCCCGAGCCCGGGGAGCTGTACGAGGATCTCTCCCTCCGCCCTCCTCCTCGGCATTCGTCAGCTCCGGCTCCGGCTCCGAGGACGACGACGACGTTGACAAGCCGTCCTCGCCCCCCTCCAACATGCTCGCCAATGCACGATGGCCCGGGGCTGCCGGGGCTGCCGTGACCGGCGTCGCTTGCGGTGCATCTCGGGACTCCCATGGTGGGCGTCGGAACCTGAAAGTGGGTAGGAAATTCGAAGCTGGCGAGGGCGTTTGGGCTGGGGGCATGGTCGTGAGGAAGTGACGTTAGGACGTGGAGACGTGGAGACGTGGAGACGCTGTGACTTTGAGGTCTGGACGCGCCGATGGGGAACTCAGCATTGAAGAAGGACCGATGTACCTACAGTATGGATGGATGATTAGTAAGCGAGGGTGGGGCTGGATGATGACGTACGGAGCGTCGTCCGTGGACTCCGCATTCTGGAATGGGAATTGGCATCGAAATCGGGGAGTCGGCGCTCTGTCATTCCCCCACACGTGATACCACCGCCGGCCCGCCCCGCCCCGCCAAGTCCTATTTCTCCGATCTTCAGCCGCAGGTCCTTTAGATGTTCGTACGGAGCAAACTTTGCAACTTCCCTCCCTTTACCAAAAACATACCAACTTTCTGATGAGAAGACTGTGATGTCGGTTTACCTTATCTTGCCATTCTGATTTGTTTTATTTGTTCTTTCTCGTTCTTGAGATGTTTCGCATTGCATATTCAAATCATTTTGATCCCATCTACGTATAAAGCTTGCTTTTCTCTCGCATCTTGGTGTCTGGCCTGGCTCTCGTTTCTCATGTCTATCAGTCAGTCAATGCTCTCTCTTTTCCTCTCTTCTTCCTCGCCACTTCTCATAAACCGCTTGTTATATATTCTGATCTCAGTCAGTCAGTCTGCGCATCATCGAAACCAGCTTATTGAAAACCTGGTGCGCATAATCGTCATCTTCTACCAACTCATCCACGAGAATGCGTTGGCGACCATCCCCATTCCAGATCTCTATTTTGGGAGACGTCTGTGCCCACAAGCACTTCAAAGCTCCGGTCCCGACGGACGGACTCGCCCACAAGGTACGGCCCCGAGCGTCTCGCTAACTCGAATCGACGTCGTCGACAGATACCGGGTGTATCGTAAGTGAGTTAGTTCACCTCTATCTTTACTTCCATTCAGCTAATCAGTAGTTCGTAGTATATTTGGATGATCGGCAAGCCCTAGAAGCTCATCTGCAGAAATAAAAAAAGAGATTTCTCGCGTCCCAATGACGATCCAACGCTCAAGCTTTTTCATATGATAGCCGAGACCGTGGCTATAAAAACGGCATGCTTCTTCTCCTTCTTGCTTCATCCCAGGTCATTGACGTGGTTTCATCACTATCAGACTCCAATTTATCCGCTCTTTTACGGCACGATGGCTTCAACTCGTGGACGCGACGCAATGGTTTGCCTCAACCATGGCCAAAGGCACTGTTCCGCCCAATTCTTATCAGTCGAGCGCAACCGCAAGAGCCGGAGCAGCATCGAGATGACAACTGCGTCTCCCTCCTACACAGACGGAAAATCAGTCAAGCCTTCCTCCAGTTGCAGCGGCAAACCGGCAGCCGAATCTTCCAACACCACTCCTTTCTGTTCCATCGACCCCTCTACTCCTCGCATATTAGGCCTCCCCCTAGATCTCGCGAAATGGTCTACGTGCGGGTTGGTGAGCTGCATCGAAAGCTGGCGCCGAGAGAAGAAGGTCGTCAAAGTGCTGCGTAGACAGCCTAGTTATCTGGATATGCGCGCCGCGGAAGCGCCCCCGCGGAGGTGGGAACCGCCACCGCACAGCTACTACATTTTGCGGGAGGCCAGCCCCGAGAGTGTTCTCGGTTATGAGATAAGCGTGGAGTCCGGCGCTGTGACGGTTGCGGCTGCGGTTGCGGCTGAAACCACAGCCGGTGCGAGATGAAAATCTTTCCACCGCATCGGATGATGGGAAAGCGATGAGGACGGATATTGTTGTTGTTGTCTTCGCATTCCATGCCATGCCAACTCACCCTCTTGGAACAGAGGGCCCCGAGCCGGAGATTTCACACCTGTATATCTCAAGGCTGCACGCACATCACATTCCTTTTCTGCATCTCCACATTATTTTCTCATTACCGGCTGAGCGCGGGCTCCCAAATATTTTCTTCGGGCTTATTATAATACTCTACACATTCTAATTAGCGCAAAAATCAATATTAATTTCATACCTCTATCTCCCCCCTACCCCCTCTCTCAATATCCTCTCTTTTCCTATCCGCCCGCCCTCTCCTCCATCATCAAACCCCCTTCTATCAATCGCAATCCGCATTTTTTTCATTCACCAAGAAATCCCACAAAAATCTCTCCTTCGTACTCGACCTTCCTACTTCGTATTCGATGAATCAATCAGACCAACCAACCGGCTGGAAAGCCACAGGCCTTCTTTCTCTTTCTTCACTGCAATCTCCTATCTCCAAATCTCCAGTTCTCCAAATCTCCAACTCCAACTCCAACTCCATCTCCAACTTCAACACCAACACGCCAGATTTTGTTATCACTATCATCATCATCGCCATGACCTACTCTTAAGAAATCAGAAATCAGAATCATCTTCGCGGCTTTAGTCTCTCATCAAAGTCAAAAAGTCAAAGCCTCTCCCCTCGAGTCAATGGGGGACAAACATGTTCTCTTGTCTTTACTCTTTACCAACTTCGTCATCGCTATATATACGACCTCGCCTCGGTATGACGAGTGGGCTCGAGGACGCGACAAATAGATGAAATGGGTGGTGGTGGTGGTGGTGGTGGTGGTGGTCAGAGTGGGAATGGTGTAGTAGGTAAGTAAAAAAAAAAAAAAAAACAAAAAAAAAAAAA